AGAGAGTGGGTCCCCTCTGATGGTGGAATGGGTGTTTGCTGGTAGGTTGGGGATGTACGCCCTTGGTTCTTGAGGTGGGAAGTTTTGTCTGATTGTGAGGAGTCTACCCCACCTGGTATGGGGATAAGTAGGGGAAGTAGGTCTCGCATTGCTATTAAGGATATTAGGTTGGGGGGTAGCTCTCCCAGGATGATGTGGAGGGCCCAGTAAACAAACAGGCCTCTGCTGGCTGGTATGAGGAGTCACCAGGAAAGTGGGTTTCTCCAGCTGGTGTGGACAAGTGAGTCTACACTGACTAGTATAGTGGTCAGGTTGGGGAGTGGGTGTCCCGTAGACCAGTGGCTCTCAATCTTTCCAGACTACTGTACCTTTTCAGGAATCTGATTTGTCTTGGATGCACCCAAGTTCCACCTAATTTAAAAACGACTTGCTTACAAAATCAGACATAAAATTGCATTATTACTGAAAAATTGCTGACTTTCTCATTTTTACTGTATAATTATAACATAAATCAATTGGAATATAAATATTGTACTCACATTTCAATGTATAGTATATAGAGCAGTATAAACAAGTCATTGTCTATACGAAATTTTAGTTAGTACTGACTTCACTAGTGCTTTTTATGTAGCTTGTTGTAAAACTAGGCAAATATCTAGATGAATTGATGTACCCCGTGGCAGACCTCTGCATACCCACTGATGTGCACGTACCCCTGGTTGAGAACCACTGCCCTAGATGGTAGAAGGGGTCATAGGAGTTAAAAGATGAGGAGCAGGTCTCCTATTGCTGGTGGTATTGAAGTGGGTCTTGAAGTGGGTCTCTGCTAACTGGTGGAGAGGGGAAGCAGGCTCCTTTCCATAAGTTGAGAAAAGACTTGAACTTTTCTTGGGCATTGGAGGGACTGGCTGAGGATAGTAGGGTTCCAGGCTCCATCCCACTATTTATTCTTCAGACTCTGGGCTGTCACTGGGTAAGCAAACAAATGGTGAGGAGAGAGACAGGCTCAAAAGCTCCTGGATTCTCACTCATGAGTGTAATAGCTTGGCCCTGCTCCTCTTGAGCAAAGATCTGTGAAACCCATAGAACTGAGCCAGGCAAGATCTGTGGACCATTTGTGACCTACTAAATCTTTTATTCATAGGATTATATATATCCAGAGATCTTAACACAGCCCTGGAGTCTTTCAGTGTGTGAAGAGACACGTCCATAGTTTCTGCAAACAGCTTTCAACCATCAAAAGGGAGGTGTTCAATGGTGTTCTGAACCTCTCTCAGGAACCCTGAGAGTTGGAGCCATGATGCCCTGCACACAACTACTGCTGCAGAGATGGACCTGGCAGCAGTGTCTGTGGCATCCAAGGATGCTTAAAGAGACATCCTGATTAATATTTGACCCTCCATGATGGCCTGAAGCTGTTCCCTCTGTTCATGTGGAAGAAGATCAATAAAGACTGTCAAATTATATTTGGCCATGATTGCCTGAGAGTTTGCCATCTAAAATTACAGGATTGCAAAAGCATAAATTTTTCATCCAAAGAGGTCTAGATGCTTTTGGTCCTTATCATACAGGGTAGACTTGGATTAGTGTTGCTTCCCTACTCATTCACTTCATCCGCCACCAGAATTAGGTAGGGCAGAAAGAGAATAAAATTGTGGATTTCTTGGATGGGATGTAATAATTTATCTTTCCATTTGCAAGTTGGTGGAATGGTATCAGGTGTTTGGCAAACTATCTTTTATTGGGTCCAGGAGTGCCTGCTTAATGGGTAGCACAACTCTAGTGGGTGTTGCTGATTGACTGGAAAATGTCAAGCAGTTTGTGATGTGAATCCTTGACCTCTTAAAGTGGTATTTGAAGAGCATCAGCTACCTGCTTTATAAGGTCCTGAGGTTGCTGAAAAGCATCAGTCATGACTAGAGATGGTGAAGAGATAGCAGTTTGAGGGGTGGCTTATTCCTCAAACATCTCCTTGTGTTGGGGAGCCAGTTAGGGAGGAGAGACTTGAACATTTCTAATTCCTTGGAACTAGTGGTCTGGCAAATTGCTGTTAGTACACAGCCCAAGGATCCCAGTATGGCCATTGCAGAGGCTCCATACGGGAGAGAGGGTGGCATCTGTGGTGTTGAGCACGAGGGTTTTCCCTATGGGAGTCAAAGAATAGGCTCCTGTATGGATGTGTAGGAGAACCCTGCACTGAGATGGATGAGACTGAAGGAAGATCTTCCTCCTCCTTGGCATCTTCCAACGAGAGGGGCACCAGCAGAAAAAGGGTGGAGAGTCCAGTGGTACTGGAGCGTGGGGTCTCAGTACTGAGAGGTATGTGGCAGCCATGGGTAGTGGAGATTCCAGTTCATCTGCCACTGATAACAGTCTTTTGAGATTCTGAATTCCTGTGGTATCGAGTGGAGGATTGGTTCTGACATAACAGCGTGTTTAGCAGTTGAAGCAGACGTACTGTAGATTTTGAGCATACCAAAGTAGGCGCCAATGGTGTCTGACACTTTGGTTTGCATGGTTGTACTGAGGATCCTGTCTGGGGAGGTACCAATGATGGAGCTGTGTTCAGTGGTATTGGTTTGAGGAGTGCTTATCCTCCTTGTCCCTTGTAGACAGGGCTCTGTTGGAAATGTGTTTCTCTTAAGAGTTCTGGGATTTTCCAGACCCACCAGTACTGGAGGAGGAGTCTTTTGCCTCTACACTGCTGAGCTGAGAGGTTGAGGCTTCTGATACCATGGACTCAGCAGGGGATGAGGTCTCTTGGGAGCAGGTTCCTTATGATAACAGTCAGCACTTCTCTTTTGGGACCCTTCATTGAGGCCTCAAGAGTTTTGCCCCTCTTAGGGGAGATCTGTGCTGAGGTCAAAGGGGAACTTGATCTGCCCAGAGACAGATGTCTGTGGGAAGGTCTTCTGACCTGACTCTGAAGTGGGTCAAAGGAAGCACTCCAGCAGCAGCTTGACCTCACAGTTCTTCCTTGCTTTGGATTTAAGAGCCAGGCAAAAGTTACACTTCTGGGAGACATATGACTCTCCCAGGCAGCTGACACACTTAGAGTGGCCATCATTGACTGGGATAGGCTCCCGACAAGAGAGGCAATGGTTGAATCGTGGAGAGTTGGGCATGCCCTGCCAGGAAAGAAAGGCTCCCTGAAGTGAGGGAGAGGACCAAAGTTAATCCTCACACTACTTATCTACTAACTATGTAACAACTATCTAAAACCAACTAACACTAAACTATAAAGAAAAAGTTAGCTCAGGCATGCTCAAGGCAGACACGCTAGGGCTCTGTCTTAGGCCAAGGTGGCTGAGAGGGAACTGAGGGCAAATGGATCGTGGCAGCCCTATGTAGCCTCAGTGCATGGCACAAGGATGTATAGGACATACAGGCAGGTCAAACAGGACACTGCAAACAGGAAATCTCTGATCAAGGACTCAAGATGCGCCGGTACACCTGAAGTGCATCACCCATAGAGACATTACTCAATGAAGAATTTTTAGCCCCTCTCCCCCAATCTGCTGCTGAAGGAATGGATCCCATCTGCGTTCAAGTCTAGCAATCAAGTTGCCTTTTCTAGGTCTATCTTTGGAACAAGAGTGGCTACAAATTTATTTTTCTTCTTCAAGAAAAGATTCCTTTCACATGGCCCAAAGAATAGCTCCGTTAACAAGGGAGCTCTCCAGCTCTTCTGTGCTTCAAGTACCATCAACTCTGATTCTTAGCATAACTGTAAAAAATACTTATCTAGACTCTCTTTCCTCCAAGGAGATTTAGTCTGTCTGATTAGAGACTTGGCTGCTTTCAACCAACGTAAGACCAAGGATCCTGTGCCTGCAAGTCTCCCATAGAAAATAAAGTGAGATAGGGGAATATAGTCAAGCTCTGGATATCTACTTGCAGGAAGGCCAGTTCAAGTTCTGACCATTCTAGGCAGCCAAAACATTATTTCAGTCAGAGCCAGATCTAGTAACACACTGCTCCAGATCAAAAGAAAACCTACTGCCCTGTGAAATATTTTAATAACGGTTTACAATGATCCTACAGAAATAGGCTGAACGCTAGATACCATGGGATACTAAATATAACAACACTTCATTCTTTAACCGTTCATTCCAGGATCTCAAAGCAGTTTGCAATGGTTAGCTGATTCAGGCCGCACGCCACCCTGTAAAGCGGAGTACAGTTATTCCCATTATACAAATGGGGAAACAGACCTGGAGAGGCCATTGCCTATCCTTTTAAATGCCCACTAACTTGAGGTGATGACATTTTTGACACACATAGAGCATTCACAAAGGCTGAGCACCTACCAATCCCTTGTGTCTTCAGTTGGCACTGTGGATGCTCAGCACGTCTGAAAATCATATCTAGGAGCACTAGCTCAGGCCACCCAAAATTATTGACCACCTGTGATAATTTAGACCTAAATGGCTATCATATAGAAACTCAGTGGTAGAGCCATAACCAAATCCAGGTCTCTTGATGACCAATATCCTGTTCTCACCACCATAGTATACTTCCTCCCAGGTATTTCAAAAAAGAGCTACAGAAATTAAGGCTACAAATGCCAATAAGTTGTATAATGGATTCTTGTCAGTGGGGAAAAAAAAGACCTAAACTGAAAAACAAATTATGCACATTTTACATCCCACAGAGGTTCAGGATTTTATTTTTTCTAAGGCTGAATTAACTCAGAAAGCAGTTAATTTCCAACTTCAAAGATTTTTTCTTGTTTTGAAGACAATAAATATGCAGCAAATATCTCACAGCAACAACGAGCTGATTAGACAGATTTAAACAAGAATAGTCGCTTGTCAGAAATAAATTACTGTAGCAGAATGTCATGTCTGGCTTTATTTTATTTATTTTGGGGGGGGGGGCGGGAACCAGACCACACATTTCTGCCAGAAGAATATCTCCCTGTATTTTAATGCTTCTTTAAAATTGTTCTCACAAGACAATGTTTCCAGCAGTTCAAAGGACAGAAGAGTTATTCCTACCTGCTACAGTGACTTTAGCTGTCCGACTGATGATAGCCCCAATGCCTTCTAAAGAGGCCTCACACTGGTAGAGACCCTCATCTGGCTTATGGTGCCTGGAATGGACTATACTTTGTATCAAGAGGGAACCATTGGCCATCTGCTGTCTCCTTTCATCCACTGCCAGGTTTAAGAAGACTGCATCTTTCTTCCACTTGATGACAGGAATTCCTTGATCAGACTCCACTGTGCAATTCAGCAGCACATTACTTCCGCGCATGGTGACAGCATCTGAAGGCTCAGTCAGGAACCGCAATGATGTAAAACCCTTAACTTGTGAACCTAGAATAAGAAAAGCTTGGTTATTCATTCACGTACAGGAAGATAGATGCCAGTTCTGGTGCATTAACTCATTGAAGAGCACGAACACAAAATCCCAGAAGACACTTTGGGTGCCCGGTGAACATTCTGAGAATTAATTTAATTAAAAATACCATGTCTCAGCAAATTGACTGAAGGAAAACCAAGATGAATATTTTGGTGCCATCGATTCAAATACAATATTTACAAAAGGGAGACAAATATGTAAACAAAGTAAAATACCTCTAACTGCGCCCCCCTCCCCTCATTATTTCAAGAAATAAGCCCCAATGTGTTCAATTTTCTCTAGTGCAGTGGATCAGTACAAAGCCTATGCATTGTTTCAGTACCATTTTGAGGGTATAAATGGAATTTACTCTAATTGGCTCATAGGGCTTGTGCTGGACCCCTGCACAGAGCTGAATTTCACCATGAGAAGTTTGCAAATAGCACTTGGGTGGCTTTGTATTTATGAGCAACGTTCAGAGGAGATTAGACAAATCCAGAGTCTAGCCATCTTTTGGAAGTGCTGCCAAATCTTTGTATATGATGAAGCTTTTCTCCCTGAACCAGAATGACACTCACATCTGTAGTAGGAAGAGAGCCTGAGACATAAGCCCTTATATCAGAGGCCTGGTTTGAGGCCGGACCTGCTCACAGAATTTGGCAAGAGCAGGGCTGATATTGCAGAAAAAACACATTCCTAACAAGTGCTCGTCACAGAGTGCTCATGCAAACACATGCCAATATCCAGTGGTACCAGAACATCCCGATATCAAGGATGGTACACAAACATTACCCAAGGATAACAGGAACACACTGACCCATCCTAAAAGATAAGGTCAGGATGATAGTACGTAATAGAGATGTTTTGATCAAACCAACATGTACAAGATGGGTGATAACTAGCAACGTAAGGGGGCAGTAACTAACTAGGTCAAAGGGGCAGTACTAACTTGTTTGTATCGGGGTATAAAGATGCATCTCAGAGGGAGTGTCTTTGTCTGGCCATAGGGAGGAATGGAAAGTCCTGCCGTTCACAGAGCTGGTCCATTGTTATGGGCATACGTGTATTAGTGGTCTGGTAGAGTCTGCGGGATACTAGTACCATGCTTTGTCAACAATACACCTGGCTGGGTGCCCTCGTCCCTTAATGGATCTTGTGGTCATTGGGTGGTTCGCTTGAGGTCTGCAATGCCAGCTGTCTGCGCAGGGCTGGGGCGGCACACAGAGGGAACACACACACACACACACACACAGCTATCAACATCTAACCACAACATTCTCAAAAGCACCTCCTCTTAACTTCTTTTCCATTCCTCTGCAATATAGAGAGAAATGGATGAGATACTGAAGTCCCTTGGGTGCCAGCTGAGCAGGTGTCACAGCAGCAGCCATGACAGACTATTCTTACAGCATAAATGTGTCACATCACAGTAGGGCATCAAGAATGCATGACAGGGCTGCAAAATGCAGAGTCTAGGCCCCTTTGCAGCCCTGCACAGTTAGGAGGCAATGGAGAAGAAGATGGAGTGAGAGACTTCCATGGAGAGCCCATGATATGAATATAAACCTTCACTGCTAAAGACTAGAAAACTGTTAAGATGCTTAAGAACTAGTGGATTTTATTACATACTCTAATAGCACAATAAAAGGAAAGGAAATGGGCCCAATTCTGATTTTCTATTGGATTGCCCCTTTTCCAGTCATTTACACCTGTGCAAAGTGCATGCAAATTGGATTCTGATTTGGTAGCATTTTATATGCACTTTCCACAAATGTAAATTACTAGACTATGGTCCAGGCTGTGGAGAATCAGACCCTATAACTTCCATTGATTGCTAAATGATATCAGAGAGTCAAAACTTACAGGACCTTGCATGTCTTTAAAGCTGCTGTCTGTGAATGGAAAGGAGGCCGATATTTTCTGTTAAGCAAACCTTGTCCTCAACCTTTCTTCCATGGATATGCTATATATAGCACTCCTAGCTGTTAAGGGCTGGGTTGACAGCATCACCTTAAACAGCTTGCCTCCAGCATGTGATATTTCCAGCCCCTTCCCAGCTACCATCCTCCTCTCCATATTACCTTCTCTCTGGCCACGTTCTAAAGGAAGAACAAAATTAATTGACTGGCAAAAGATGTATCCAAGGCCTGATCCTGATCTCGCTCACATTGGTTTAATCTCACCTGAAGTCAATGGAGCTACACTGGTTTCAGTAACCTAAGGGGCTGCTAACAAGGAGTTTCGCAAGGGAGTTCTCCAGGTGAAGGAGGAGCAATACAGCACCCTTTTGGGGTAAGTGACTGTCTGTAGTGTGTGTTTGTTTGTGTTTGGGGGTTACTTGCTGTGTGCTGAGCTTGTGTTTGTCAGTCTGTTTGTTCGGTTGGTTGTTTGAAGGACCGTGTGCTGTGGCTGGCAGTTGGAAGCTGTGAGCTTCAAAGGAAGGTTTGAAAGCTAGAAGCCTCTGGTAAGTGGCTGAGCCTTAATCAGTGGGCGGGGCATTCATACAGGCCAGGGCTTTATAAAGCAGCGCACAAGCGACTAGGGAGCTTTTGCGAACAGGGGCTGCTAACAGGGAGTTTCGCAAGGGAGTTTGGAAGGGGAGTGGGAAGGGGGCGAGGGTCCCTTGCCGGTTCTATCTGTTTTCCCTTTATTCCCCTTAAAACCTAAACTTCTTGCTTAAACAACCCTTTCAGCGGACAGGGGGCTGCAGACGGGAGTTTGACAGAGGGAAGCTTACGATGGTTAGGAAGACCCGCAACACCTGTGCCAGCACTGCTTCTGTCTCCTCCACCTGCGCCTGTAGCCAGACAGAGCGCCTGAGCATGGATGCTTCTACCCAGATCCTGGTGTGGTTTTGCAGAGACTGTAACTTGCAATTTCCACTTACTGATATCCAGGCTGGGGGGACCATCCAATGTGAAAGGTGCCTGCTGGTGGAATCTCTCAGGCAGCAGGTGGGAGAGCTACAGGAGGAGGTGGCTAGGTTGAGGAGCATCCGAATCCACGAGCAATTCCTGGACAGTGTCCATGTGGAGATAGCTGAGGTAGCTGTCCCAGTACACAGGACTGCTGATACACCACTGGTGGAGGAGGAGATGGCTCAGGCTGGACACTGGCAGCTGGTTACTTCTGGCAGCAGGCAGTGCTCCACCCCTGCTCCGAACCCTCCCGCCGCGGTAATAGGTAACCGTTATGCTCTTCTTGATACAGGAAAGAAAGAATCATAAGGAGGAGGGAGAAAACTTGTTCACCTTAGCCTCTGAGGATA